GCCATTGGAATTTGGTTGTTGTCAGAATATGCATCCATAAAAGTTATAATTTGAAACCGACCGAGTTGTCGACCAGTTTGTCAATATTGGGGAGGGGATAAGAATCTTTCGAGCAAGCCCGATTGAGGTCGGTATAATCAATTCACATGTGCCATTTTCCATTAAATTTCTTTACAGGAACTACATTTGAGATCCAGGTTGTGTACTGGGCTTCAGAAAAAAAATGTGCCTCTAGGAGGTATTTTACAGCTAGTTCGACATCCTCCATTTTTTCGAGGGACTGTTTTCTTCTGCGCTAGGCGACCGCCTTGAGGGAAGGGTCTATGGTCAGGTGATGGCATGAAATTTCTGGGTCCAATCTAGGCATCTCGGCTGCGCTCCAAGAAAACAGATCAGCATTCTCCCTCAAGCAAGCTTTAAGTTGCCTCTTTGCCAAGTCAGAGAGGTTAGCTCCAATCTTTACTCCTTAGGTGGGATCAATCCCGAGGGGGGTGATCTCGAAGTCTTCGTCTCAGATGGGTCATGCAAGATCTGAGAGTTCCTCGCTATTTGTAGATATGGATGAACCTTCACCTTCGACCATAGGCTTTTTCCCTTTCTTTCTCTGCTCTGCACGATATTCTTTGGAGAAGCGGCTGTTGAGATCGATGGCGACGACCCTTGGAAGTGGCTTGGCTTCCTCGGAGCTAGAGGGCAGTGCGGCCCTAGTGGTTGTTCGGGGTTGAGCATTGATGGAACTCACGCCCCTGGCCGAGGCTTCAAAACATTTTCTTTCCGCCTGGATGTCCTCGTGGAGGTTGGGGACGAAACCCTCTGCAATATAGTACTTCATTTTGAGGTGTACGGTGGAGGGAACCACAATCAGTTCGGCCAGAGTGGGCCTCCTGAAGACACATTGATAGAGAGACGCGCAATCCACTACCAAAAATTGAGTCTTGATGGCTCTGGCAGTTATCCCTCTTTTGAAGGTGACGATCAGCTCGACGTACCCCTAGGGTTTGGTGCTGGCCCCATTGAAGCCCTAGAGATCTGAGCCCACATACGGGGTCAGGTGGCTTTCGTTCATCTGTAGGGTAGCAAACAGCTGGGTGTACATGATGTCTACTGAGCTACCTTGATTGACTAGTATATGTTGAACATCAAAGTTTTCCATGTAAGCTCTCACGAGCAGGGGATAGTCGAGTTGGGGGTTCTGCCCGGCAGTTCCTCCCTGTAGAAGGTGAGGGGATGAGAGCCTCCTCGGAACTTGTCCAAAGTGGCATCCATGTCAGAGTTGTCCTCGATAAGTTACTCAAACCTTCTTTTTACGGATCCCACTGTATGCTTATTGAATCCCCCTTCGGAGATGACCATCGCAACGAGGAATGACTCCCAAGGACTATGAGAGGAGAAGTACAATGGGACGTTCTCCATGTCTGGCAAGTAGAAATCTTCTGGTCACAAGATACTTATGGTGACCGGTATAACGCTGATGTCGTTGGACTTCTTCCCCTCTTCGACGCCCTTGGTTTCTAGAGCCTTCTCACGGACACCCTTTTTCTTCTTGTACTGCTTGAGGTGCCTGTCTCGGATTAGTATCTCGATTACATCCTTGAGATGGATGCAATTGTCAGTTTTGTGACCATGGCTTTTATGGAACCTGCATTATTTTCTCTTGTCGGCTCCAGGTTTGGAGGGTGTTTGTCGGGGAAAGTGCACCCCAGCCTGTTTGAATTCAGAATTGGCCCATTCGGACAGAATGCGTTCTTTTGAAGTAGTCAGAGGGGTGTAGTCGTGAAATTAAAAAGCAGGCCCCCTGTAATCTTTGGAGTCTCAGGATCTTCCTTCTTGCTTCTTTTCTCCCCCCCCCCCCACGACGGGATGTCGAGGGCTCGTTTCTTCTTGAGGACTTGGAACTTTCTCGGTGCCTTGACTCCCTAGAATTGTCGGCGGCTTCTTTCTCCTTGTATTGAATGTATGCTTGAGCCTTGAGGGGGAGGGAGTCGAGCATGGTTTATGATTCGATACCCACCACTTTTACAAAGTCGCTACGGGGACGGAGCCCGCGTTCAAGAAGGTATTTCTTCATGGTGTAGGTCGTGGAGACCTCTTTTGCTTTTTATTGAAGTGCTCGATATATGCTCGCAGAGACTCATCTCTTCCCTGGATAATCACTCCAAGTGAAGCTTCTGATTTTGGATGTCGACGGGAGGCGGTGAAGTGCCTCGAGGACATCCTTCCCACCTGTTTCCAGGAGGTAATAGACTCGTCGTGAGGCTTTTGTACCAAGACAGGGCCCCTTTCCTCAGGGTAGCCGGGAATAGTATGCACTTAATGGCGCCTCTGACCCCTCAGTAGTCGAGGAGGGCGTCGATATTCTCTATGTATTCATCAGGATTGATCATACTGTCACACGTCCCCAATGGGTGTGACTTTTCCCGGCCGATTGGGAGTTAGGTCTTTGTAATCTCTCTTGATAATGGGTCGTGGGGCTCGTCATCGTTGCTTTCCCCGAAGGATGAAGGCGGGGAGTGATAGTTCCTTCCTCGTCGGGGGGAAGGGATCCTTCGGTGCTATCTTGGTTTGGGTGACGATGATCGGCCACAGTTAAATTAGGGGATCACTCTTCTTCTTCTTGGAGGATGGAGAGCTTTGGTCCTTCTTGTGAGGTGTGCAATTGCTTTACTTGAAGAAAGAAACGTTACACTTCTCCTTTCTTGACGGATGACCACGTCTAGGTGGGGATATGCTGGGGGAATCATGTCATCGGTGTCTCTAAGGAGGAGAATTTGATTGCTTCTTCTCCCAGGCCCCTATCTTTTTGTTCTGCTGTAGAAAAAGGGTGTTAGTCTGGTTGAGGGCAGCGAGCAATGCTGCAATGGCCATGTCGGCGTTATGAGGGGTGAGAACTGGTTATAAAATCTCCGACAGTTCCTCGGTAGGGTTCCTGGGATGCTTCTCATCCAAGAACTGATGGTCGTCACGCTGGGTGTCAACTGAATCTGGGGATGCAGTCTGGCCATCACGGAAGACGAGGTTATCCTCGAGGTGAGGATGTTCTTGACTTCCATCGGTCTTATGTACCAGAGAAAGTGCAGTCTTTCTAGATAGGTGGTGATCTTCACAATCGTCCATGATTGATGAATGAGGAGGATATCTGGTCTTCAGATTTTGGGGAATAGAAAACAGGGAAGATAGTTTCCCACAGACGACGCCACTGATCTTACGGGTTGATCAGAACCTACAAAGTGGCCGGATGATAATTTTTGAACTGGCTGGAAAATGGAGGAGGAAAAAAAGGGGTTGTACCTGCAAGGCACTCCGACGATCAATTAAGTGTGGGAGAAAAGAGATACAAGCAAAGTGTTAGGGTTTTAGTGATGAATAGTGGATATTCGGGTTCACAAAATAGGTAACTTCCAGGACTTGGTCAAACCGGGCCGGTGTGCCTGCAACTAGCCGTTAGTTCTGAGGAGGAGGTCGGTTACAGACAATGGTCTGGTCGATTCCTAGTTGTCTGACCGACTTGAGGTCGACAGATTGAGAGGAGCTCGTCGGATGTCTTACGTCAGTGCGGGTCTAGAAGGACAAATAATTGATGGTGTCTGACGGAGGGCGGGACAGCCTGACCCGGGATCGCACGGGATGTGTCGAAGAAGGAGGTCAGACTGGACCCACTCTAGCTGTTGGGCCAGCCCAAAATTATATATATATATATATATATATATATATATATATATATATATATATATATATATATATATATATATATATATATATATATATATATATATATATATATATATATATATATATATATATATATATATATATATATATATATATATATATATATATATATATATATATATATATATATATATATATATATATGTGTTTTTTTTTTTTTTTTAGTATAAATATTATAATTTTATTATTAAAAAAATTGAATTTGTATAGGTATATAATTATGTGTAATTTCAATGTGCATATTTTTAATACTAAATTAAATATATTATAAATATTAAGTTGAATATTAATTATAAATTAAAACGCATTTTAATATGGATATGTTCAATAAGATTGAGTGATATAAAAAATAAATTAAATTATTTTTTTATTATTATTAAGTTTTATAGTTAATGTAATTTTTTTAATATGATGTAAATTTAAGCCATGTATATAAAGGTAAACCCAATATTTTAATAAATAAATTATTTGAAATAATTGTATTAATTTTATAATATCAATTAAATAATTAAAGATTGTCTAAATAATTTAATATTTGTGAAATAATTTCCATTTTTATATAAGCATATTTTTTATCCATACTTATATTCGGGTATTGATACAGATCTAAACCGGTGCAAAGTAGATCATCAAAAAATATTTTCTCTAAAAAATATATAAATTTGTTTATATTATTTTGAAATGTTAAAAAAAATGCAATAATCAACATTTTCTCCTTTTATATTACTAAGAACTGTTTTGATAATTTATTAAATAGAATAAAGTAAAAGGAGTTTTTTGAACAATTTTGCCATGTCTCAATTTTATAGTGCCCAAACTATTTATATATTTGCTATTAATAGAAAATTTTCTATAATTAAAAATATTTTTTTAATATTTATAATATTATTTTCATATTGTTTAAATCTATTATTATTTATTATATTATATTTAACGATGATTCAACTGAGCCATGCTAACCAACCATTCAAATTCAGTTTTTTTTCTTGGGCTTTGGTAACAACCTATTGATGTGTCGGTTCAACTCCTGTGGGAGATGCATAAGCGTCTGTCGCGTAACTCCACCGCAAGCAGCCCGTCCTCGTACGACCAGCCTCTGCGGTCTCCCTTCGATACCGCCCTCGAACGCCCTAAGTCAACCGTGAAAACATCATCAATTCAAGCAGACCCGTGATCCTGACACATCACTTCCATCTCCATCTTTGGGTAATTTGTTTTTTCGTTTTGATTTCATTTATGTGGTTTTGTGATATGTTGGTTGTTTTGAATAAATGAAAAGAAAAACTATAGAGAAGAAAAACCAGGGAACAGGTAGAGGAAAGATTGATGTTGAATCTGAATTTTGGTTTGGAAGGTTGCAATTTGATTCATTTTGTTTATATTTGAAATTGCAATTTTGGTTAGTTTTAAATATGACTTATCAGTTTGAGTTAAATTCTGAGTGTGATGGCTATTAGGGATTTAAATAAAATTTAATCTTGAATGCATGGTTGCATTTTAGATTGTGAATAAATGATGAATATTATCTTAAAGAAGGGCTCTTGGTAAAACTATGGGGAGCATCGGTATTGTCTGGGACTTTTAGATGCTTAATGTTTATATATTTGATGACCTCTATGATTATTTTGCTTCGTATTTTACTTTATTCAATGCAAGGACTTGAGGAGGAAAAATGTGTGGTGATCATCTAAATCTATATCGTGAAATAGGCTAGGACAGGGAAGAGACAAAACATTGGAGTACTTGAAGGAGAACCCGCATCTTGCTTTTTAACTTTTATATTCTACAGTAATGTAGTCACTCATTTATGCATCCAGGGCATGATTTGCTATTCTTATTATTGGGATTTGTTTTTCTTGGAGTGATAGGTTAATTTCATGTTATTAAAGTTAGAATGAGGAATCAAGTGTGTGAATGTGTGATCAAAAGCATGTGAAATGGTGAGGTTATTAGAAATTGAAATGTTAATTTTATAGTCAAGTCATTTTCTACTTATAAAAGTCTTCATTAAATTATTTGTGCAACCTAACCTACTTCATATCTATTTGAGTTTGCTAATGGATTATGCATTTTAGATTTTTATTTGTCTTCATTTTATTTGCTACTCTTTTTATTGTTATGTGTTGAGGTATGTCTTTGGCATGACTTTTCATTTTATTTTCTTTTTTTCCAATTATTTTCTATTGAATCCTCTTGGAATTAGAGGAAATAGTTTTAAGAAATGAATTACAAAATGTTTTTTAACATTAGAAATTTTATCTCGTGCCACGCACGATTATACACACCTGTATGCATAAGTTATAATAATTATCAATAATTAATATTTAATTTTATAATAATGGCCAATTTGATACATTAAATAAAAAGTGAAGCAGAAACGGTTTATTGGTATCTGATAAAATGAATGACTACATTACTATAGAATATAAATGTTGAAAAGCAAGATACAAAGTACTGCAATATTTTGTCTCTTCTCTGTCCTAGCCTATTTCACGATATAGATCTAGATGATCACCATTAATTTCTTAGTACACTACTAAAAATATGACATTTGAGAAAATGCCTTTACATCAGGTATAAAAATAAATGATGTAAAAAATATTTGTCAAAAGATTTTACATCAGACTTTTATTTCTCCTGATATAAAAAATATGTAATTTAGAGGAAAATATAACAAGGTGGCATTTTGGTAAATAAAATGAAAATTTTTATAAGGGATTTTACATCGGGCCTATACAATCTACCGATATAAGAACTCCAATAATAAAATAATACAAACATGGTGGCTGTTTTGTAAATAAGGTGCGTTTTTGTTTAAAAAAATTAGCTCTTACATCGGGCCATACACCCAACCGATATAAAAGAGCGTTTTTGTTAAAAAGAAAAAAATGACCCTTACATCAGACCATAAACCAAACCGATATAAAATAGGGGTTTTGTTAAAAAAAAAGTGGCCATTACATCGGGCCATAAACCCAACCGATGTAAAAGAGTGACCCTTACATCGGGCCATAAACCCAACCGATGTAAAAAATCTTGTCAACTTCACAAAACACTATTTTTACTATTCATATATTTATTTCACAAAAACGCATCAAAGCTTCATCTTTTACGCTCCGAACCCAACAACCATCCGTCTTCCTCCTTCTCCCTCCGCTCTCTGCCTCCGCCTTCCTCTTTCTCCCTCCGCCATCTGCCTCCGGACGCAAAACCCCACATTGTCCAAAACTGTCTTCCTCCTCCCCCTGCCTTCGGACGCGAATCCAGTTTCGCTCAGCCATGCCTCCGCCTCCGTCCATACTGTTCAGTTTCAGTCAGCCGCGCTTCAGCCTCCATCCACACCGTCCGGTTTCGGTCAGCCGTGCATCCACCTCCGTTTCCGTTGTCGTCCCACCAAATCCGTCCGTCTCCAACGTCCCTGCATTATTCCGTGTCTCTCGGTCTCCCTCCGCCTCCGACGTCGTCCCTCCATTTCCGACAGGTTATATTTAACATTAATGTTACTGTTATCCAGATTTATATTACATTTTATTTAAAGGAATGAATTTAAATAGAACAAATTAAAATGTTATTGTTAATCTTGCATGCTAACCACCAACAAAGTTTCAATCCCGCGACATCACATTATGTTACAATTTTTATGTTTAAAAGAATCTCTTATGGATTCTTGTAGTAGTGCTACTCTTCCGCTGGACATCCTATAAATGTACATTTCTACCCAAATTAAAAATATTCAAGGACAGTTAAGTATGACGTATTCTATTTCTATATTATTTGTGACGGAGTTTCTTATATTAAATCATTGTGGAGTGATCTAACAAGTAAAGAATGTTAAAAAACATTAATTATTAAAAAGGTATATTAGGAATAAAAATTGACCAAATCACGAAGAAAATTATTACAAGGTAAGTTTGTCCTTTGTGGCTTTTGTTATAATATATTATATATCTTATATACATAAATTGTTACAAAAGTAATTTCCTATTTTATGTGGCTTTATATGAATTTTTTTCTTCTGAATTAGTGCTTTTGGGGTTCATCAAATGGAAAATGGAAATAGAAAAAAGGCTACATGGCTTCATTCTAATGTAAGTGTGATGTATATTACAAATCTATATTTAATTTTATGTCAATTATTTACTAATTATGTCATTTGTTTGTCTAGACAAGAAGACAACATAACTCTAGTGATTGTGGATACTATGTGATGAAAAATATGTTGGATATTGTCTCTGCCAATATAACTGATTCTTGGATGCAGGTAATAAAAAAACTTTACTTTTATAGTTGCTTTGTGTTTTGCAATTTAATGTGAATTTTTAAAGAATAAGTTTATATTGTTATTTATGCATTGTAGGTATTTGATGACCCAACTGAATTAACACAAGATGATTTGTATGATTTGTGACTCTGTTGGGCAAAATATTTCTTTGAGTTATATAAAAATTAAGCTCGAACTGGTGAGTTATATAGAATTGTCTATACATATCTGATTTGCGTTTTTTGGTTTTGGTGTTGTGTGCTGTTGTTAATTGGTGTTATTATTTATTGTTAGCAGATGTGATTTTGGTGTTGTCTACTGAAGCTACAACTCATTTTCTTGTGGGTTGCATGTTGGTATTTCAAGTGTGGATCTTTTTGTATAATTTCATTGGTTTTGTTGTTGTAGTAATCTACCTTTTGTAAACTTCTTTATAATTCTGTACACTTGTGCTAGATTAGTACTTTTATAACTCAATGGTTTGTTTTGAAGAATATATATGTGAATCCTAGATAATTAGTGCAATGAAATTACCCTTTACTGGTTAGAAAAATATGAAATTAGCGACTTAAATATGGTCAGTATTATGTGGTAAAAATATGGGGAAAAAAGTGACCTAAATGTGGTTGTGATGTTGGAAAAATATGAAAAATCACGTACAAATAAATAAATTCCGAGAATGCACCCGATTTTGTTAAATATGGAATATTAAACAAATATTTTACATCGAGTATATTAAGAAAACCGATGTAAAAAACAATTTATTACATCAGCGGATCAAAGAAACCGATGTAAAAGCTTGCCTTTATTTTTATTTTTTTAATTATTATTATTTTTTTATATCAGTTCTAAAAACTAACTGATGTAATAGGTTGAGTTTTTACATCGGGCTGTAGCCCGATGTAAAATGTCTTTGATTTACTACATCGCTTGAATTTTCATCGGACCAAGACCCGATGTAAAAGTACTTTTCGCCCGATGTAAAATGTATTTCCTGCACTAGTGAGATGAATGAAGTTTTTGTGTTGTTACTATTGGATTGTAAAGAGATATATGTTGATGATATTTGCAGGTTAATGAGTTTGTGTATTGAAGCTTTTGTTTGTTTGAAAATTGAAGTTAGTGGATGAAAGAAAATTTTGGTTATGAGATGGAGAATTTGGTTTATCTTGTTAAGAGATGAAGGTGGTTGTGACTATATGTTTGTGTTTGTTTAAGTTGAATAAGTAGTTTATAAATGAATTGAAGGTTTATGTAATTTGATGGAGGAAGAAAAGAGTTATGGATGAGAAAAGGGAGATTTTCGTGAGATTTTTCTATGTTTCTTTGGTGTGACTTCCTCCTCCTTGCTTCCAATTGTGGATTAGATTTTAAAGTTATTTTTTAGATAGAATCAAGTGTGTGAGTGTGTGGTTAAAAGCATGTGAAATGGTGAGGTTGTTAGAAATTGAAATGTTAATTTTATTGTCAAGTCATTTTCTATTTATAAAAGTCTTCATTAAATTATTTGTGCAACCTAACCTACTTCGTATCTATTTGGGTTTGCTAATGGGTTAGGCCTTTTTGATTTTTATTTGTATTCGTTTTATTTGCTACTCTTTTTATTATTATGTGTTGAGGTATGCCTTTGGCATGGCTTTTCATTTTATTTTCTTTTTTTCTAATTATTTTCTATTGAATCCTATTGGAATTAGAGGAAATAGTTTTAAGAAATGAATTCAAAATATTTTTTAACATAAGAAATTTTATCTCGTGCCACGCACGATTATACACACCTGTATACATAAGTTATAATAATTATCAACAAATAATATTCAATTTGATACATTAAATAAAAAGTGAAGAAGAAACAGTTTATTGGTATCTGATAAAAGGAATGCACGCTTAGTAATTTAGAGTTCAGAATAATATATATATATATATATATATATATATATATATATATATATATATATATATATATATATATATATATATATATATATATATATATATTATTCTGAACTCTAAATTACTAAGCGTGCATTCCTTTTATCAGATACCAATAAACTGTTTCTTCTTCACTTTTTATTTAATGTATCAAATTGAATATTATTTGTTGATAATTATTGGTGTTGGGATATTCTTGGTGTGGCCTCTTCTTGTCACCACCATCTTCATCATCAATGAAAACATAATAGTCAATTGTTCTGGATC